ATATGATAAACCCACAGCTAACAGCATACTCAACAGTGAGAGGCTGAAAACTTTTCCTCTGAGATCGGGAACAAGACAGGGATGCCCACTCTCCACACTGTTATTCAACATAGTACTGGAGGTCTTAGCCATGGCAATTAGACAAAACAAAGAAATACAAGGAATCCAGATTAGTAAAGAAGAAGTCAAACTGTCACTATTTGCAGATGACATGATATTGTACATAAAAACCCCTAAAGACTCCACTCCAAAACTGCTAGAACTAATATCGGAATTCAGCAAAGTTGCAGGATACAAAATTAACACACAGAAATCTGTGGCTTTCCTATACACTAACAATGAACCAATAGAAAGAGAAATCAGGAAAACAATTCCATTCACAATAGCATCAAAAAGAATAAAAGACCTAGGAATAAACCTAACCAAGGAAGTGAAAGACCTATACCCTGAAAACTATAAGACACTCTTAAGAGAAATAAAAGAGATCACTAACAAATGGAAACTCATCCCATGCTCCTGGCTAGGATGAATTAATATTGTCAAAATGGCCATCCTGCCCAAAGCAATATACAGATTCGATGCCATCCCTATCAAATTACCAACAGCATTCTTCAATGAACTAGAACAAATAGTTCAAAAATTCATATGGAAACACCAAAGACCCCGAATAGTTAAAGCAATCATGAGAAGGAAGAATAAAGGGCAGGGGGATCTCACTCCCCAACTTCAAGCTCTACTACAAAGCCACAGTAATCAAGAAAATTTGGTACTGGCACAAGAACAGAGCCACAGACCAGTGGAACACAACAGAGACTCCAAACATTAACCCAAACATATATGGCCAATTAATATTCGATAAAGGAGCCATGGTCATACAATGGGGAAATGACAGTCTCTTCAACAGATGATGCTGGCAAAACTGGACAGCTACATGTAAGAGAATGAAACTGGATCACTGTCTAACCCCATACACAAAAGTAAATTCGAAATGGATCAAAGACTCGAACGTAAGTCATGAAACCGTAAAACTCTTAGAAGAAAGCATAGGCAAAAATCTCTTAGACATAAATATGAGTGACTTCTTCTTGAGCGTATCTCCCCAGGCAAGGAAACAAAAGCAAAAATGAACAAGTGGGACTATATCAAGCTGAAAAGCTTCTGTACAGCAAAGGACACCATCAATAGAACAAAAAGGTATCCTACAGTATGGGAGAACATATTCATAAATGACAGATCCAGTAAAGGGCTGACATCCAAAATATATAGAGCTCACACACCTCAACAAACAAAAAGCAAATAATCCTATTTAAAAATGGGCAGAGGAGCTGAATAAATAGTTCTCTAAAGAAGAAATTCAGATGGCCAACAGACACATGAAAAGATGCTCCACATCGCTTGTCAGAGAAATGCAAATTAAAACTACAATGAGATATCACCTCATACCAGTAAGGATGGCTACCATCCAAAAGACAAATAACAACAAATGTTGGCGAGGTTGTGGAGAAAGGGGAACCCTCCTACACTGCTGGTGGGAATGTAAATTAGTTCAACCATTGTGAAAAGCAGTATGGAGGTTCCTCAAAATGCTCAAAATAGAAATACCATTTGACCCAGGAATTCCACTTCTAAGAATTTACCCTAAGAATGCAGCACTCCAGTTTGAAAAAGGCAGATGCACCACTATGTTTATCGCAGCACTATTTACAATAGCCAAGATGTGGAAGCAACCTAGGTGTCCATCAGTAGATGAATGGATAAAGAAGATGTGGTACATATACACAATGGAGTATTACTCAGCCATAAGAAAAAAACATCCTACCATTTGCAACAACATGGATGGAGCTAGAAGGGTATTATGCTCAGTGAAATCAGCCAGGTGGAGAAAGATAAATACCAAATGATTTCACTCATATGTGGAGTATAAGAACAAAGGGAAACTGAAGGAACAAACAGTAGCAGAATCACAGAACCCAAGAATGGACTAACAGTTACAAAGGAAAAGGGACTGGGGAGGATGGGTGGGAAGGGAGGGTTAAGGGCAGGGAAAAAGAAAAGGGGCATTACGATTAGCATGTATAGTGTGGCGTGACACAGGGAAGGCTGTGCAATGCAGAGAAAACAAGTAGTGATTTTACAGCATCTTAGTACGCTGATGGACAGTGACTGTGAAGGGGTATGTGGGGGTGACTTGGTGAAGGGGGGAGCCTAGTAAACAATGTTCTCCACATAATTGCAGATTAATGATACCAAAAAAATAAAAAAATAAAAAATTAATTTAAAAAAACAGGAAAAAAATAATAAGTGATTAAAAAGGAAAAAAAATTCTTCTCTAAGGAAAATAACAGTAAATATTTTTAAACAATTAAGAGATTATTACAATTTCACACTTAAATTTTAAATGTAGATCTCCTCACTAGCTCCCAATACTGTGAAATTTCTACTTTGAAGAAACTTGGCAAAACCACAAATTAATCTCCATATGTTCTTCTTGGGATACATATGCATATTGAATCCTGGGGGAAAACCTCAGTATTACATAGGTTCCCAAAATAAATGTGTGAAGTAATCCTAATAATAACCTTTTGAGGCATATGTTTTGGTCAAATAAAAGAAACCACGGCAAATATACAGCAAAAATGCTTTGGTTCAAAATGTCATTTTAGATCATGTTTCCTGAGCAAAGATAAATATGATTCCAACAGTGTTTGGCCGGTAAATATATTTTTATTGATATAAATTAATTTTTTTTCCTGTCAGAAACTAAAAATTAATGATTTGAAGAAATGAGGAGACATGTAAATGATACAGTGTCTAATAAAAGAGAAACATAATGTCATCTAAAAAAGTAAATGCTTCATAGTATGTTTTCTTCTTGGTATCTGCAGCCATAGGAAATGACTTTTAATGTTCATAGTGTAATAAGGTTTTTTCTTTGATATTAAAGAAAAAAAAGATTTTCTCTCTGAAGTGCAATTTCTGATACTTGTAATCAAGTAGATATCAGTGTATTTCTATATATAATCAGATTGCTAAATCACAACCATCAGTAATTGACTTTGCTTAAGCACAGGATAAATTTTTTGGAAGAAGAGCAAGTCTTAGAGAATCAGATGCAAGGCTAAACAATCAGGACTAGAAAATGAACAGACTCCACCACCACTCTCAATGTTATTGCCACTGACACACTTTAGACACTGATGTGAATAATTTCTCACTGTTCTATGTCTTCAAGTCTCTAGCTGACCCAGTCTGATGGGGTACGGGGATTGGAAATACCTTGCATCTTGTTCGCCTGTGTAGGACGTGGTGCCAGGTAAGCATTTCCCAAAATGTAGGAAAAATGTTGAGAAATGGATAGACTTTACATGTATAAACATCCAGTATATATTTGTAATACATTGGGAGGTTAAACACACTACGCATTTTGGCTCTTTTCAATGCTCAATATTCAGCATTCTCTCTATGCTAATCTAGTATCGAAGGTGATGATGGTGAAGGAGTCATTCTTTTATGTTTGTACTTAATTTGCATAATATACATCAATGTAGCGGAGGAATGAAAAATAAAAGTAATATTAAAAAAAAATTGAAGTAAATAATTTTCTACTTATACTTTATATACACACACACATACACACATATACATATATATTGAAGTATTTTGAAATTTTTGTTTAAAGGTTTCAGTCATTTTTTACATGTATTAGATAACTGTTTTCAACCCAATTTTCTAAAATGAATCTACTCAGTTCATACCTACACACAAAGTTGATGCAGAAATTAGATTTCTACCCCTCATCCCCTATTTTCTTCTCCATGGAATTCATAACAAGTCCTGGGAGCCAACATATCATTTTCATTTAAATGTTTATACAATAATTCCACAAAGCCAATTTTTTACTTTACAACTGACAGGATTAAAGTTTATCTATAGATTGAAATAAAAACTCAAGCACATTAAGAACACAATTTCCAGGCAGAAATGAATGCAGAGTATATGACAACCTTCAAACTAATTTTTTATATATAATATGGTAAACTAAATGGTGAGAAGTAAAAGTAGTAGACTATAACTGTTAATGAGTTTCGTAAATCTGTGAGAAACTCAGTTGTGATCTAAAATTACTTAAGACATTTTCATATATATGAGTCCTTACAGAGGGAAAAAAGGATGTTTTGGTTTGATAACTACTATACAAACAATGTAAATTTGCAAATAGTTCTACTCTAAAGCAACCCAATGATAACATGCTATAACAATCCAGTATGGAGCTCACTATAGCAATGTCTCTTACATTTTTAACAAGAACTTATGTAATTATAAAAGATTATAATTGGAGCACAAAATCTAACGTATTTTTGAGAAAACATAAAAATGTAGGAATGCTGGTTTCCTTAAAAAGTGAATCTAGTTGGAGTTAAGAGAGCTACATAAACTTAGCATTTTTAAAAACCCAATATGAAAACACCCAATTTGCCAAAATAGACTCAATGTGTTTCAGTCTATTTTATTCATTGCTACTATTGAGAAACTCATACATTTGTAAACGAAGATTCTTAAAATCCTGATATTTTATGTGAAAATATGAAATATTTTTAAGCAAATATTTTGTTTTACCTTTAAAAGTTCAGGTTCCCATGTGTCTAATGTTAAAGATCGTACTTTTGAAAAATGAACACCAAGACTCCTAAGTGGGAAAAAAGAAGACTATATTAATATATAAAATTATCAAGGCTCTATTTGCATGTCATGCAAATTATTTTTCTCCTCTAATGAAACATACTCCCTAGTATAGCCCTCAAACACACATACACACACATAATTGTTGACAGATATTCTGGTTAATAGGGAATGGTGAACTGATATCCTCAAAGGGAGGACTTCACAACCAGCATTTTATCCATTCTACAAAAGGTACAAAAATACAAAATGGCAGTCAAAATAGGCAACTAGAAAAGGCCCTCTTAATCAATGCGGCATGATAATTTACAATGTGTTTACCCAAAAGAAGTCTCTCACCCTGGAGAGGCCTACCCACCGGTGAATTCCAGAACACTCGATACACAGGGTGATGCCCAGGTTGATGCTGGCCCAGCGTGGGTCTGCCAGACCACAATCACAGCAACTGGCATTGCCAGGGATACACTGGACTCGCTGTAGTGCACTTTCTCCTTTCAATGACTTATCTTTTGACTCATTTCCAGAATCTAGGCTTCCTGTGGATGGAGATGATTTCTTATCCAGCTTCTGCAAGAATTAAAAATCAATTGTTTTTTTAAAAAAAAGATTGTAATACTACGCACACACTACATGCTCTGAATCAAAGTTTCAAATAAACTGAACACCTATTATGGGCCTTCACCAGGCATTGCTTTATTAGAGATTCGAGGATGAAAAGATATAGGTTCCTCCATCAACTGGCATTTAGTCTTGTCACAAAAAACATAGATATTGAACAAGAAGTATATGTGTGTGTGTGTGTGTATCTATATATAACAACTGATGGAATGAATATATGTTCAAGATCTGAGGGCAAAAAAAGGGGGAACACTAACTAAACATGCAGAATGAGAAAAAAGGGGATAAGACTATTAAAACTCAAGAATAAAATAAATATTATTTTATACCAACTTTTTCCAGGTATTCAATGAACTACAAGCAAGTTCTTTCAATTATTGCAGTGAATAACTAAAAATGGAACAGCCTTTTACTAAAGAGCAGATCAATTAGATAATTATAACTATGGAATGAATAAACAATAGCATACACAATACCTAAATCTCATGGGCTACTATGAAGCCAGGAGGAAATCAAAGAGTAGCAGGTAAGCAAAAAGTTAAATTTTTTAAGTATACAGAAAATAATAACCAAGTACAAACATGTAGTTTGGGGATCCTAAGCAATTAAAGATATGTTCTACAAAGCCTTCGGGTTTAAAAACATTTCAACCTTAGCTAACTACTATTTTAGTACAGAATCACTAGAAATATAATCTGGCTCTTGCTGTCCTCTCCCTGAAAACTCAAACAACCATTAGGTGGAACCAAGCAATGAAACTGGAATACGGTATTTCACAGAGGACTGAGCTGAGTGAAGTACATATCCTCAAATGAAAGCACCTCTGTAGGTTGTTGGATCCCAAGCAGGAAAAGGAGTATATATGTCTGCATGAGGAAATGGCCCAGCAAGGGTAGTGAAAGTCTGGGACAGGATAGCACCAACGGGAGTCCCAACAGAAGTGAGGTGCCGGAGCCTTAGTTGGATGAAGGGGCAGGAGACAACAGAGAGGATACTGATTACATGCAGGAAGCCTAATCATATAAGTAAACATAATAAAAACAAATGGAGAGGGGGTGGAGCCAAGATGGCAGCATGAGTAGGACAGTGAATATCTCCTCCCAAAAACATACATATTTTTGAAAATACAAAAATACAACTATCCCTAAAAGAGAGACCAGAAGATACAGGACAACAGACAGACTACAACCACACCCGCGAGAACCCAGCACCTCGCGAAGCAGGTAAGATACAAGCCCCAGCCTGGCAGGATGCAAGCACCCCTCACCCCAGCTCCCCACGGGACGAGAAGAGGCAGAGCGGGGAGGGAGAGGGAGCCCAGGACTGCTAAATACCCAGCCCCAGCCATGCGGACCTGGAATGCAGACACAGTGTGTGGGGTGCTGGATACTGGGGGAACAGAACAGTAAAACCTGCAAGCGGGTACCTGCAGCAAGCGCCCCTGGGACAAAGAAAAGCGAGTGTTTTTTGAAAGTCTTAGCCCAGCACCTGGGAATCCCGGGGAACTCTGGGCACCTTAACCCCCTGGGCAGCAGCGCAGCTCTGAGACCCCTCACGGCGATAAACAGCCCACCGCCCGTTTCCCCTTACAGCGTGGAACCACCATAGCAGAGCAGCGGCCTGAGGCTGGGCACACCCACAGCAAGGGAGCTTCCTCCATAGCGGCCCGGCAAGAAACAGAGACCCAGTCTATGTGCAACTGCCCAACACAAACAGCTAGGGGTCACCATTGTCCCAGGAAAGAAAGGCCAAGAGCAAGTAGAAAGGGTCTTGGTTCTCCCAGCTGACAGACGACTCAATAGCATACCACTGCATCTATCAACATGAAAAGGCAGAAAAATTTGATCCAGACCAGACTAACCCAGACATCCTCCACATCCTCCCTGAGAAGGAATCTGGGGAGATAGATTTAACCAATCTTCCTGAAAAAGAATTCAAAACAAAATTCATAACCATGCTGATGGACTTGCAGAGAAAAATGCAAGAATGAAGGACGGAGAATACAGACATAAAACAATCTCTGGAGGACTTCAAAGCAAAATGGACGAGAAGCAAGAGACCATTAGTGGACTAGAAATCAGAGAACAGGAATGCAGAGAAGCTGACGCAGAGAGAGATAAAAGGATCTCCAGGAATGAAAGAATATTAAGAGAACTGTGTGACCAATCGAAACAGAACAATATTCGCATTATAGGAGTAACAGTAGAAGAAGAGAGAGGAAAAAGGGACACAAAGTGTCTTTGAACAAATAATTGCTGAAAATTTCCCCAAACTAGGGAAGGAAATGGCCTCTCAGACCACAGAAGCACACAGAACTGCCATGACAAGCGACCCAAGGAGGGCAACACCAGGACACATAATAACTAAAACGGCAAAAATCAAAGACAAGCACAGACTATAAAAGGCAGCTAGAGAGAAAAAAAGGTCACCTACAAAGGAAAACCAATCAGGCTATCATCAGACTTCACGAAAGAAACCTTACAGGCCAGAAGAGAATGGCATGATATATTTAATGCAATGAAACAGAGGGGCCTTAAATGAAGGATGCTGTATCCAGGACAATTATCATTTAAACATGAAGGAGGGATTAAACAATTCCCAGACAAGCAAAACTTGAGGGAATTTGCCTCCCACAAACCACCTCTACAGGGTATCTTGGAGGGACTGCTCTAGATGGGAGCACTCCTAAAAGGAGCACAGAACAAAACACCCAACATATGAAGACTGGAGGAGGAGGAATAAAAAGTGAGAGAAATAAAGAATCATCAGACAGTGTTTATAATAGCTCAATAAGTGAGATAAGTTAGATAGTAAAGAAGCTAACATTGAACCTTTGGCAACCACAAACTTAAAGCCTGCAATGGCAATAAGTACATATCTTTCAATAATGACCCTAAATGTAAATGGACTGAATGCACCAATCAAAAGACACAGAGTAATAGAACTGATAAAAAAGCAAGACCCATCTATATGCTGCTTACAAGAGACTCACCTCAAACCCAAAGACATGCACAGATTAAAAGTCAAGGGATGGAAAAAGATATTTCATGCAAACAACAGGGAGAAAAAAGCAGGTGTTGCAATACTACTATCAGACAAAGTAGACTTCAGAAAGAAAGTAACAACAGATAAAGGACATTATATACTGATAAAGGGCTCAGTCCAACAAGAGGATATAACCATTATAAATATATATGCACCCAGTACAGGAGCACCAATATATGTGAAACAAATACTAACAGAATTAAAGGAGGAAATAGAATGGGATGCATTCAATTTGGGAGACTTCAACACACCACCCACTCAGAAGGACAGATCCACCAGACAGAAAATAAGTAAGGACACAGAGGCACTGAACAACACACTAAAACAGATGGACCTAATAGACATCTATACAACTCTATATCCAAAAGCAACAGCATACACATTCTTCTCAAGTGCACATGGAACATTCCCCAGAATAG